AACCTGAGGGCAGCAACAAGGCTGATGCCCACCTTGTTGGCCCCTCCCGCAGTTGGGTGTTCCTGGTCAAGAAGAGTTACCAGGACACCGACACCTCCCTGCAGAGCAGCATCATCACCAAAGTCAAGGGCGTGATCTTCACCAACACCTCGGAGCTGGGAGAGCGGCTCTGGGACGCTGCGGACTACGTCATCCCACCCCAGGTCTGAACCCCACTTGGGCTGGCAGGGCCTGGCTGGGGTGGGTCACATGGGAAGCTGCTCTGGGACCCAGGGACTCCCATTCGTTGTCTCCCTTGGTCCAGAGCAGCTGCCAGGGTTTGTAAATAGAGATCCTGTCCAGATCCTTCCCCCCATGCCCAACTCCATGAGGCTGTGCCTCATGGAACCGCTCTGTTCCTAGCAAACCCTGAGCCTGTTGAGACCAAAGGGCTCAGAAGAGTTTCTGGGTCAGTGTGAGTCCCTTAGGTNCCCCCCATGCCCAACTCCATGAGGCTGTGCCTCATGGAACCGCTCTGTTCCTAGCAAACCCTGAGCCTGTTGAGACCAAAGGGCTCAGAAGAGTTTCTGGGTCAGTGTGAGTCCCAGCTCCCTGGCCTGTTCACAGTCTACCTGGGCCAGGGCGGAGCTGCCCCCTCACTGCTCCCTCTCCTCCCGGGCCTGGACCCCAGGGGCTGAGGTCAGAATAAGGATTTGTGGGGCGGGGGCAGCTTGTGGGTGTGGGTCTGGAAGGAATCCATTAAAGGACATTTACTCAGGGACTCTGGGGTCAGTGGGTGGATGGGTGGGAGGGGATCTAGGGATTTTATGGCCCCATTGTCCCCAACATCCATGCAGAGACCCCACCCCCTGCCAGGCAGCCCTGGGAAGGAGGGTCCCCAAGAAGGCAGAAGGAGGTTCCTTAACCCCTCTCTGGTTCCCCAGGGGGAGAATGTCTTCTTTGTCATCACCAACCTAATCGTGACCCCCAACCAGCGGCAGGAAACCTGTGCTGAGGTTTGCTTTGGCGCGAGCTGGGAGGTGGTGGAGAACCCCAGCACCGGCCTGGCTCCAGAAGCTGGGGCTCTCTCCCCTGCGGGGCCTTGGGGTGTGCATTGGTGCATGTACCTGTACTGTTTAGGGGAGAAACAGGTTCTCAAAAGGTGGGTGGCCCGAGGCAGGGGAGGAGCCTCTGTCCTACTTCTGGGGTGGGACCCGGCTCTGAGCTGGGAGCCTGCAGGGGAACTGTCCACACAGGCGCCCTTCTGTCCCGGTAGAGCGAAAGCATTCCTGACGCCCTGTGCTCTGAGGACAGCGACTGCCCTCCTGGGGAGCCTGTTGTGACTGGAAATGGTGAGGCTGGGAGTGGCCAGGGCTGGGGAGCAGAAGGGGGCTTGGAGCCAGGGGGTTCCTGGCACTACCTGTCCCACCCTGCAGGAGTGAGGACCGGCCGCTGCCTACGGGCGGAGAACAGGCAGAGGGGCACCTGTGAGATCTTCGCCTGGTGCCCAGTGGAGACAAGGTCCAGGCCAGAGTAAGTGGCTGTGGTTCGGGACCCCGAGGGGTTACCCAGGCCTGCGGCTCCCTAAACAGCTGTCCCGGCTTGGTTTTCAGGAAGCCACTCCTGGGCAAGGCTGAAGACTTCACTATTTACATAAAGAACTTCATCCGCTTCCCAAAATTCAACTTCTCCAAGTATGTGGGGCTCGGCTACTGGAGACCCAGGGGTGGGGCTTTGGCTGGCCCTCCTGGTGGCTGTGAGTGGGTCCCCGTGTATGTATCACTTGTGTATGAATGAACCACTGGGGGCAGCTGGGCACCCTGCCCTGCTGGGGGCGGGGGGCTCTGTTCTTGTCTGCAGTGGGACGTTAGCGTGGTTGTGGTCGGGGCTTGAGTAGAGGGCTGAAGTCCAGGACAAGGCCTGGGCCGGGTGAGGGGTCCTGTGCCTCCTGGGTCAGGTCCAGTTTCTGGCTCAGAAACAGCAAGTCTACCTTCATTTCGCTGTCTGTTCATGGCCTCCACCCAGGACCAATGTGCTGCACACCGAAGACAGTAATTACCTGAAGTCCTGCCGGTTCGGCCCCAAGAGCCCCTACTGCCCCATCTTCCATCTGGGGTCTGTGGTCAGCTGGACGGGGAGCGACTTCCAGGAGATAGCACTGCAGGTGGGTGGTGTGCGCTCAGGGAGCCCTCTGTGGGGGCCTCAGGGCTCTGGGCCTGGGCTCTCTAATGAGGGTGTGTGGGGGGTGACCCATGGGGTAGGGTGGCCCTGCAAAGTCATCTGCCCCAGGGACTTCCTGTTTTCAGAATTCACTGTGACACACAGCCAGCTGTGCCTTCGCTCGGACCTCGGGCACTTGGTGAGGGGCATACTCGGCACCTGCCCTTTGGTTCTTAGTCACTGGGGCAGCGGCTGAAACTGAACCAGAAGGAGTCCGCCTGGCACGTCCTGGCTCTGTGTAAGGTGCCTGCCCGTAGCGTAGTAGGTGCTCACCCGGTAGTTCTCGTCTTTTCTGAAGCAGGAGGCAGGAGGAGACGGGGGCTAGGGGCTGTCAGCGTGTCGCTTCTCAGCCTCTCCTGGGCCGTGCACCTTCCTTCCAGAAGGACGCTCCAGCCGGGCTGACCCCCGGCCTCAGTACCTGCCCAGTCCTGTCCAGCTCTCCGTGGAGAGTTAGTCTGTGACTACTGTCCATCTCCAGAAAGTTCTGTGCACGGATTCCCATCTCTTTTTCATCAAGGGCGGTGTGATAGGAATCCAGATCGAGTGGAACTGTGATCTTGACAAAGCTCCTTCTGAATGCAACCCTCACTATCATTTTAGCCGGCTGGACAGCAGGCTTCTGGGAAACTCTGTCTCTTCTGGGTACAACTTCAGGTAACTGGGCCTGGGCCTGCTGCCGTATGGCTCTGTCCATGTTTTGTATCCTTTCCTGGGGGCCAGCACTGTAACGCCCCTTCCTGGGGTAAGTGTCAGAGTGGGAGGTGCAGGGAGAGACAGCTGGGGAGAGAGGGATGGCCTCCAGGGGGGCCTCTGGGGGAGGAGAAGAGAGGAGAGAAGGGTCTGTCATCGCCCTGGGATCCCCATGAAGCTGGGGCCTGACTTCTCAGCTGGATCAGCTCCATCAGTGCTTTGGTGGCCCAGGTTGTCCCAGCATGGAGTGGGAAAGCCCTTGTCTCTTGGGGAATGTCGGGCAAGCATTTCAAAGATCTGGATGAGTCTTTAGCATAATGTCAGCAGGAGGGTCTGCAACCTCTTCTGGGGCTGCTTTTAGCGAGGTCCGGGGGGTGCTTATAAATCTCAAAGCCTCCGCGTCTGTGTTACCAAACAGGGAAGGCCCAGCAAGGCTGAGGTCTCCCCTGGGCTGTGTCTCCCCAGGTTTGCCAAATATTACCGCGATGAAGATGGGGTGGAGTTCCGCACCCTGATCAAAGCCTACGGGATCCGCTTTGATGTCCTGGTGAATGGCAGGGTATGTGAGCTGTGCCTCCCACTCGGAGGCTGGTCCCATCTACTTCTCTAGAGGTGTCTCTCGCTCTCCCCCACAGGCCCTGTGGGATTGCCCAGGCATGACAAGCTTGTTCCTGCCTCCGCAGAGCCCTTCTCGAGCTTTCCCCCACTTTGTATAAATTCTTATTCAGCCCTCAAGACTCAGCCCAGGCTGAATAAAGTTCCATCTTCTCTCTGCTCCCCTCGCTCCTCTCTCCATCAGAGGACAAGCCACTCTGTGCCAAGCTACATGCTTGTCTGTTGCACCGGACGAATGTCCCCAGAGGGTCGGTCTCCTTGTCTTAATCCTTCCTGCACCTCAGGGCAGGGCAGGTGTGTTGGGAGGGCTCTGGTTGGAGTGTCGGGGGACCCTGCTGTCCACCTGCCTCCCTCACCCTGCCTTGTCTCTGTGCTTCAGGCAGGGAAGTTCAGCATCATCCCCACGATCATCAACATGGCCTCCGGGGTGGCGCTCATGGGTGTTGTGAGTACCTCCCCTCCCCTTCCCCTTTACCCTCTGAGCACTGGTGGGGGGAGGGGGACACTGCCTCAGGGGAGCTGTCCTGATGCCCCAGAAAGAGAGCTGGCAGGCCAGTGCAGGTGCCGGTAAAGAGGACTTTCTGGGACTTCACACCCCTCCAGTGGCCCCCAGGGGGCAGTGATGGCCTGAGTTTCTCTTTTCAGAGCCAGAGGCATCTGCCTGTTGCTCTGGAGCTGGGTTTGGGGCTGGGGTTCTCTGGGATACAGGATTAGCCCCTGAACTTTAATTTATTTTTATTGTTGACACTATTGCCGATGTCTTCCCCCCCCCTTGCCTACTTCTACCCAGCCCCCAGCCCCTCCCTCTGGCCTTCACCCCAGTGTTGAGTGTCCACGGGCTATGCATATATGTTCTTTGGCTAATCTCTTCACCTTCTTTCATCCAGTCCCTCCCACCCTCCTCTCCTCTGACATCTGTCAGTCTGTTCCATGTCTCAATGCCTCTGGTTCTATTTTGTTCGTCAGTTTCTGTTTTCTTTTAAAAATATATCTTCATTGATTTCAGAAAGAGGGAGGGAGAGGGAGAGAGAGATAGAAACACCAGTGATGAGAGAGTCATTGATCGGCTGCCTCCTGCTCGCCCCCTGCTGGGGATCGAGCCCGCAACCCGGGCATGTGCCCTGACTGGGGATTGAACCACGATATCTCCTGGATCACAGATTGATGCTCAACCACTGAGCCACGCTGGCCGGGCAGTCACTGAACTTTTAAAGCCTCATCTTCACTTCTGAAAAGAGGCAGGCCCCAGTTATAGACAAGGTTTCTCACCTGTGGCCCTGTGGAACAAGGAATTGATTTTAAAAGAACATTTTTTGCATCTGGGGGAAACAAGAAAAAGAGGTGTGCAGAACTCAGGGTCAGAGGACCGGGTTCAAGCGTGGGCCCATCCATCAACCTCCTGCGGTCCCCCACCCTCCACTCAGCCGGTCAGGAAACCCCCTCTGTGTTGCGGGTGGGTCCGCCCTCTGGTGGGTGAGACGGGCATTGCACAGGCACTCTGGTCTGAAGTGCATGTGCTCAGGTGTCAGTGGGTCCCCGCTGCATTAGCTCAGGTCGTGAGCCGCTTCTTTCCCTGACCATCACTGCGGTGTCCTTGTTATTCAGATCCCCTCCAACCCATCCTTCACACTGACAGCCAGAAGGATCTTTTCTAAATGCCACAATTCCGACTGTGTCCTGCTCCTATCCAAAGCCCTCAGTGTCCCCCCTAGAGGATGAGAACTAGTGCCTTGAAGACATTCAGGGAGCGTTACAGGCTGGTTCGGTCCACCTCTCCAGAAGTGTCTAGCTCTCTGCCACAGGCCCTGTGGGATTGCCCAGGCATGACAAGCTTGTCCCTGCCTCTGCAGAGCCCTTCTCGAGCTTTCCCCTCTTTGTGTAAATTCTTATTCAGCCCTCAAGACTCAGCCCAGGCTGAGTAAAATCCCATCTCCTCTGCTCCTCTCCCCACCATAGGACATGCCACTCTGTGCCATAAGTTACATGCTTGTCTCTTGCACCAGAGAGTGTCCCCAGAGGGTCTTGTTGTCTTAATTCTCCCTGCACCCCAATGCAGTACCTGGCACGTGGTGAATGCTCAGCAGACATTGGTTAAAGACATGATTTGATAGGTTAGGGGAGTGTGGGGGGTGCTTAGCCTGAGGGATCAGGTGGACTCCAGGCTCACCTGGGCTCTACTACAGACCAGCTTTGTGGCCTTAAACAAAGGTGCCTCTTTCTGAGCTGTTGCCCCATCTATGAAATGGGCACAATGATGTCCCCTTCTGGGATTGTTACAGGATCCAACGGGATGTAGTGCAGTCAAGTGGCTGTGGGGTCTCCAGAAGTGTAGGGTTCTGAGTCAGGGACCCCCAACTCTTTTGCAGGGGTCTTTCATCTGCGACCTGGTACTCATCTACCTCATCAAAAAGAGCCACTTCTACCGCAACAAGAAATTCGAGGAAGTAAGGTCAGTTCCACTTCCTCTCCACTGGCCCGAGGGGAGCCCTAGGGAACCAGCTCAGCCAGCCTCCCCCTCCCTGTCTTAGGACCTTTACCCTGGGTGGGTGGTGGCGCCAGGGCTGAACATGGGGAGCTGCCCCGGAAGGGCAGGAAGGTGGACTTTTCTGAGTACATGCTCCACAGAACTGGACTCCGCCTCAGAGCAGCTGTCTGAAGAAAAAGCCACCACAGGCCATGGGCAGACCTGGTTTCCAGGCCTCCTCGGGCCTCAGTTTCTCTCTGTGAAACGAGAGAATTGGTTTACATATAGTGCCTTCCAGCATTTATGTTTTAGGATTCTTGGACTTGGTAGTCCTGGTGGGCTGGGGTTGAGGGAAGCTGGAGTGGTAAGGGAAGAAAACAGATTTTCTTTTTTTTGTTTACTACTGAGCCTATTTCCAGGCTCTCTTGGGCTGTGGGCTTGTTGGGGTGTATGTGTCTGTAGGCAGAAAGGAAGGGGAAGGGGCTCTGGTCTAGGCCTTGGGAAGGTTCCCTGGAGGATCTGGGATTAGAATGGGAGCCCTTGGCTGAGTCAGGAGGTGGCCACGCCAGCCTCGCCTCTGTCTGGCTTTGTGCCCTTGAGCAGGGGCCTGACACTGGGACTCTCCTCTTGTAAGCCACATCCCAGGAGGGGTTCACTGGCCTGAGTAGACTTTCCTCTCATCCCCCATTTTCAGTCTTTGCTGATTTAGAGGTTGGCAGCCTCCAACCAGAAGCTGCGCCTAGGCAGGGAAGGGTGTTAAAAGGACTGGGACAGAGAGGAGGGACAAAGGATGGTGAGGAGTGAAGAGAGGTTGTAGGGGCTGCAGCAGCTGGGGCAAGGAAGTAGTGGAGGCTGGGGATCTGCTGTGTGGCCGGGCACCCAGCAGCCCATGCTCCATGAGCTGTCACTTTTTGGGTGCTCGCCTGAGCTACTTAGGCTGTGAGAAGGAAGAATGGCCACGGCCCTGGTCTTGGAGCAGCCTCACCTGCGTGGGGTGCCGCTGTGGTGGCTGCTGCTCATTGCTGGGGCAGCTCCAGGTCTGAGCATGTACAGGTGTCTGGGCTACTCCAGGGACCCCAGCACACTGCCCCTCTCTGCGGATGCTCTCCCTGCCTGTAGTGCTGCCTTTAGGAAGGCTGTGTCCACAAGATTCCCAAACATGCTCTGTGCCCACCCACACACAGGTCTGGCCACACAGGGAATGGCAAAGTGACTGTGGAGCAGCTGCAGAACCTGCAGACAGTGGAGGCGTAGCCAGACTTGAAGATGTCGGGGGCATAATCACCTGCACCTCTGAACTGGGAAGAGCCTGTGTCTGCATGGGACAAGGGCTTCTGGGCACCCCCATCTCTCCTGAACTTTGGGATCTTGCTACAAGCTTTTTGTTTTGTGTTGGGGGAGGGGAGCCTCCCAGTGGCAGAGTGGCTCAGATCTAAGATACACTGGAAAGGGAAGGGGGGCGGGCCAGGGTGCGAATATTAGAATGTTTTCACTTCTTCTGAGAACCTAATTGGACATTCATTCATTCATTCATTTATTCCTACATGCAGTAAATATTTTTTTGCTGTGGGCTGGGCCCTACTAAGAGACGCTTAAGTGAGACGCTGACCTGGCACTCAGGGAGCACACATATAATTCCCTTCAGAGACCACAGACTTCCTAGCCAGGCTCAGCCACTCTGGCCTTCCTCCAGCCTCCAGGTGGCTTTCACAAATTCCAGCGGAAAATGACAGCACCTCAGAGAAAGACCTTTGCCCCCAGGGTTTCAGTTTAAAGGTGGCCAAGGAGGCAACAAAGAGAGGTAGCTGGTCCTTGAGGGGAGAGGCAGCCGCTGAGGGCTGCTATGTAAGGTGGGTAGGGGAGGTGGAGAGGACTCGCTCCAGTCCGACCCACCTAGCCTAGGGAGTCTCTGGGCATAGTGTACCCACCCAGGTGGCGCATCGTTGCCCGCAGTTTGGCTCTTGTGGGGTTGGTGTCCCTGCCCAGCTTCCCTCCCTTTCTTCTCAAGGGCTGGCTGGGTCTGAAGGGCTAATGACCTGGTGCTCACTCAGTGGGAACAGTTGTTGTTAGGGAGGCCCTCCCCCTCACCCTTGCCCCTCCTTCCCCATCCCCACCCTGCAGAACTCCGCTGCTCCCCCCGCCCCCCCAGTGGCTGTAGAGCTTCACTCCTCCAGGTGTGGTCTCTGGACCAGCAGCATCCACATTACCTGAGAGCTTGTTAGATACACAGTCTCTGGCCCCTGCCTTCCTCCTAAATCAGAGCCTGCGTTTCAGCAAGGCTCCCAGGTGATTCACGTGCTCCTTACATTATTTCGAGACGCCCTGGTTGAGGAGATCTGCAAAGCCTGGTTCTGAGGGAGAAAAGAGCAGGCCTCGGTGAGGCCAGTTTCTAGGTCAGACTTACACACATTCTACCTTGAGACCGACAGGACCTTCCTCCCCACCCCAGGGAAAGGAGCATTACACTCCATTTAAGTAAAAATATTTTAAGTAGGCAATGCTTGTATGATTCAAAACTTTAAAGCTACAAAAGAATCGACAGTGAAAGCTTCCCTCCCGCCCCTGTTCTGGAGGCAACTTGTGTTACCAGTTCCAAGAGGCTCCCTCGTTTCCAAGCTGAGAATCCACTTGGTTACTCATGTCCTCTCTCAGGAAATGAACTTTTCCTGATGCCTGCAACGTCAGACCAAGTCTCCTCAGAAAGAGACAGGATGGAGTAGGCTTAAGTACTGGGCTGGGAGCCAGCTAGCTTGCTCCTCCCTCCCCGTGTCTGGGGAGTCCCAGTGTAAACCCAAGGGGAGAGGCCTAGAACTGTTTGAACACTACGCAGCAAACGCCTGCAGTGATGTTTGCACAGCTGCCCAGACACTGGGGAGCATCCTCTTTGGAAGTGCCCTTTCGGATTTCCCTCAAGTCAGGGGAGCCTGGTTCTCTGCACACACAGGAGGGGTGAGCATCCCTCCCCTGGGGCCTTTGGAGAGGGTCAGAAGAGGTCTGAAAGAAAGTTTCTGGTGAGGTTTGGCCACCGGGGCAGAAGGTCATGGTCCCCAAAACAGGAACCCTTCTAGAGAAAGCAGCTCCCTCACCTTCGGCTGCCTGGTAACCAGTCTACAAGCCACCTAATCTCTGAATAGAAAGTGAAAAATCTGGGTGATCCATTACGATGTTTTACTTCATCACTAAAGCAAACTCTTGCATTAGATACTCTAGCCTCTTACTTTTATGCTTGGGAGGAAAATGGGCAGGAGCATGGCTGCTTAGGTCCTGTTTCTTTTAGCCTGTTTTTGGAAATGCTTGGCAGGAGCCATAAAACCTAAGAACAGTTGTACTGTTTATTTTATATTGGAATGAAAATGTCTTCCTACACTATTCAGTCAGTAAATATTTATTGAATACCTATTGTGTCAGGTGTTGGATTATGCTGGTGACACAGTGGCAAGCAACACGGAAACAGTCCCTGCTGGAGAGCTTCTAGCTCTGGGGGAGCTGAACCTTAACCAGTAACAGACATCATCACAGCTGAATTGAGATTTCAATGGAGTAGCCAGAGAAAGTCCCCCCTAGAAGGAAACTTATAAACTGAAATCTGAACAGTTAGTAGCAGTCTTAGTAGGTGCTGGAGAAGGCATTCCAGGTAAGGGAACCACACATGTGAAAGAAACCCCTTGACATGAGAAGGAGCAATGGAGGAATTGGATGAAGACTGTGACTGGAGTTGTGGCTTTCTTTTCAACTTTCTTGCTCAACCTAATTGTGTCTGCAAGTCCAGCAAAGCTTCCCAGGTCCCCTCCCTACTACCTGTCAGGGAAGCCACGCTCAGAGAAGCCCGTGACCCCATTATAGCACTGCAGTGTTGCACGCTGCCCAAGTTCCTTTGCTTTTGCACATCCCCCTGCTCCTTCCGTTTTGTTTTTTTGCATAATGTTGGTGCACAAGTGGGAGGCTCATTAATCTTATAGAAACTGGCTTTGAAACGGGAAGTGAAGCAGGAGCTTGAGCTCCTTTCAAACTTGGGAAAACTCCTTTCTCAGGGTGCTTGCTGCCTCCTCAGGAAGATGGGCCTGGCAGCCCTTTGAGCCACCAGTCCAGGATCACATGAACTGCCTGTGCTATGTTCAGGCCTAAAGCCACCCAACTTGTATTTTCCTAATGATTTATTCCATGCCTTGGGAGTACTATGCTGCAACTCAAAAATACATTTGAAAACTAGGTGCTACCAATATGACATTACAGGGACTACCATCAAAGAGCCCAGTGCCCTCTACTGGTGCAGGGGTCATCAGGACTGACCAGTCACTGCTGTCCACCGCCCCCATCAGTTCTTTCTTCTCAGTGACCACCCACGGGGGGACCAGTTGTGAAGGAGGAACATGACTTCCTCCAGGTGTCTCGAAGCACCAGCTAAGGCCTACAGCACCCTGCAGAGTCCCTAAATCAGGCCAATACACAGAATTAAAGGGGGAAGACAGCAAACTTTCTGGAAACTGCCCTGTATATGTATTTTCTGACATTTTTATTTGGTTATAAAACAATAAAAGGGTTAACTTTAAATGTGTCATGATTTTTCCCCCCTCATGTCTTCACGGTCACCCATGTTTTAGAGGTAAATGTAAGGAGAAAGTGAGCCCAAAAGAGGCAGAGACAGAAACAATTACTGAGCAATATTATGTTCCTTATTATCTTGCAAAGAAATTGCAAGTAAGGAAACTCTTTAAGTGATTAAACATTAGGACTAGGAAGGCACTGATAAAACTTTTCATTCAGAGTAATTTGATAAAACTCTGGAAAGCATTTGAAATTAAGTTTTAATCTTCTGCTCTAGGTTATTATTAAATTCCCTCAAAACAATATAAAGATATTAATTGCAGTATTTTTTATAATAGTGACCATTTCAAACAATATTACCGCCTAACAATAGAGGAATGGTTAAGTAAATCAGCTCATTTACCTACCCCCACCCCCCCCCAAGTAGGACCCACTGCTTCTTCCTCCTCAGCCCACATCAGGAACCACCATTCCCTTCTCACTCAGAGAAGGCCCTGAGAGGACTGGGGAGGTTGGGAGAGGAGGTGCAAACCATTAATCCGAGTATCTTTAATGGTGGTCAGATGAAGGGTTCAGAGGAAATCACTGGGGGAGAGGGAGGCGAAGCTGTGGCTTCAGCTGCTCCTTAGCTTCACATGCAAGCACATAGTCCAGAACCCAAAATGGAATTCAGGAGGCCTGGGTCCTAGATCCATTTCCATTATTAGCCATGGGACAATACCGTCTGCAAAATGGGACGTGGATTCAAGCTCTAGAATCCCCTCTGATCTAATATTGATTTTAAAAATCCAAATCTGATCACATAAGTCTGGACTAAAACCTCCAAAGACTTCCCTCAGTTGCTCTTAGAATCAAAGCCAAACTCTCCACGGTGGCCCTCCACATTCTTCCCGGTCCAGGTCTACCTAATAGCTTCTCTAAGTGTTCAGATACAGGCCAAACTTCTTCCTGCCCAATGGCCCTCACACATGTGCTTTCTAGCAAGTACCCCCTTCTCCATACTTGGCTGTTATTCAACCTTTGGTTCTCTAATATCATTTCCTCAAAGACGACTTTCTTGACCCCCACCTCCCAAACAGGGTTCAGTTTGGGGTTCCTATGTACTCTCCTCATAGGACTTACCGTAACTTAAATATTTGTGAAATTAGGTTATGCAGTCTTCCCCGTTAGACTATAAAGTCCATGGCAACATATTCATAACTATAACTCTAATGCAATATTTATCCCTCAATTAAAATGTGCATTTTATTATAAGACAACCCTCTGACAAGAAGGAATCGCAGATTAGCATATAGAAGGAGGCACTGACACTTTAGATAAGCTCAAAGTTTAGTATATAAATGTCCAATCTGTTTAATCTTCATGAGATGTATCTGAGAAAAGAGCTTGAATTTCTTTTTTTAAATGGAAATGACAGCTAGCTGTAACTAGGTGAAAATGAACTGACAGGACACCACTCATACCTGATAGCAGAGGTTTGTGAAAGGGAAGGCTGGGCTCTGAAAAGGTACACTCAGCCAACACAGCAGGACTAATTAAGAGACCCACATTTGGCCCTGGCTGGGGTGGCTCAGTTGGTTTCCCGTTGGATTCCCAGTCAGGGCATTTCCCTGAGTTGGGGGATAGAACGAGTCAGCTGATTGATGTTTTGCTTTTCTTGCTCTCTCCCCCTCTCATTAACTCTCTAAAAATCAATATAAAATCTTTAAACAAACAAACACCCCAAACAAGTGACCTACATTTGAATCCTGGCTCTGCCTTTTCTGAGCTGTGCCTCCTCTGGAGCCTTAGGTTCATCAATGGGGAACAATAACCACATCTGCTCCATAAGTATATTGCTAGAATTAAACGAGATAATGGGTGTAAACTGTACAATGCCACAATGCCTGGCATATAGGGCACACAATAAATATTAAAGTACTATTAGTTTTTAGGATGTTAACAGTAAGTTCTCTCCATATATAGGCCCAAGTGTACATGCAAGGAAATTAGAGAAGGCTAAGCCTCAGTCCCAGGCCTCCAGGAATCAAACTTGGCGATTTTGCACCCAGGACAGACGGGGGTATGCGTGAAGGCAGGAAAAAACTCCGTAAAGTGTCTCACGCTTCATTTAATCTGAAGATTACAGGCTCTTCGTCTTCTAATTTAAGTTATTCATAACGTTACAGAACAAGCAGCGAATTCAACAATTTAAAAACTGAGTCTATACGTTGTTAATTTCTGGCAACAGTCTTCCCAATCTGGTTTTTTAAAAAAGAGTCATCCCTGCCCCCACTTCAGTAGACGTGCACCATGCCATACAGGAATGTCCAGAACAGGACGTAGGTGAAGAGGCCTCCGATGAGACCACCTGTGAAGAGAGGTCTTCGTGACTTAAAATATTTGTTCCACCTCCTTCCCGCCTTGAGGATTAAGAGCAGGGAGAGCAGGATGGAGGCGAGCAGGTAGAAGATGAAGCCGTAGAGGCCGGTGAGGCCGAGGATGCCGGCCGTGGCCCCCGACAGCGCTGACACTGAGGTCCGGCAGTAATCCAGGACCGCGGCGTTGCCTCGCACGGCTGCCTCGCTGATGAACGGCGGCCCTTCCCGCTTGGCCACCACAGCGGCCATCGCACCCGCCGGGGCTCAGCTTCTGCCTTCCCGCAGAGCTGCGGGGAAAACCAAGTTACAAGTGGCGCCCCGGAGCTTGGCGAGTTGGGTTCACACCGCCCCTCCCCCCTGGGGCTTCCAAAACCTCGCACCACTCGTGGGTCTCGAACCTTCCAAAGACCTAAGGAGGCTGAGGGCTGCGGCCAGCCGGGGGTGGGGGGAGCGGCAGCGCGTCTGCATTCCCCGCCCAGGCTCGCCGGGTTACCTGGAACACGGCGGCAGTCACTTAGCGTTCCCTCAGAGAGTCTGGAGAACAGCTCCCACCGGCGCCATCTTGCTCTAGAGCCTGCTGGGAGGACCCAGGCTGCGCATGCGCCAAGTCGGCGCTCCCGCCCTCCAGCGCATGCGCCGCGGGTGCCCCAAGCACGCTCCGCCTCCACCCGGCTTTACTACGCACGGACTAGGACTTCCGAAAGCCGCTGAGCGACCCGGAGAGTGATTGGTTGGAGGTTTGTTAACTATTCATGAGGGGGCGGGCCGAGCCGGGCGGCCTTTGTTAACCAGAGGGCGCGGTCGCGGGGACTGTGGCTGCGGGCTTCGCTGAGCCGGACTTGGTCGCCAGATTGGGGTCGAGATGTCCTACATCCCGGGCCAGCCGGTCACGGCCGTGGTGGTGAGTGCGCCCGCGCGGGCTCTGCCTCTCTCGGCTTGCTCCCACTTTGCAGAGCGGTAAACTGACACCCCGTACAGGTTAGCAAAGCCGAGTACCCAGGGCTCCTGCAGACCCCGCGGCCAGAGCTTCGGCCCCCTTTCCCGCCGCCGTCTCCCTGGGCATGTCACAGCGAAGGCTGGGACCCAAGAGCCTCAGACCCTGGACCTGGCCAGACCCCGCGCGCTGTCGCCGCCGCGTTGGTCTCCTTTCAGTTGGCTGGGGCGGGGAGGACAGAGGAGAAAGGCCGGGCTGTGGTCCAGTAAAGCGCCCAGGGCCTTCCTGGGCCTGTGAGCTCAGCTGGGCAGCCGCGGGGGGTGCGCGCCGCCGGACGTCCGCGAGCCGCCGCCTCTGGAATGAGGAAGTGCTTCCTCCGCGCCCGCGGGCGCCGCCGCCCGGAGGGAGATTTGAGGGATGGAGGGGCCGGGGCCTGCCTAGCAGCTCTACCCCTCCGTCCGTCCGGCCTTGCTTCCTCGGACTCGACCACCGCCCAGTCCGGCGTGAAGGCTCATGCAACTGGCTTGGTCCTGCTCGGAGCTTTCCCTGGATCCCCAGCTCTTGGGGCCAGAGAGACCCTTTGGGGTCAACTCAGGCCCCTGGTTCCCCCCTCTGCGCCCCCTGGCTTGTTTTGGGTGTCAGGTGCGATTAGAATACTCAGAGGGGGTAAGGGAGGCTGGGACATTAGACCTAGATGCCAGTGCTACAGCTGGATGGGACCTGGAGGCCAGGAGGTGGGAAGTGAGTCTCAGGGAGGTCTGGTCATGGCCAGCCATACAAAGAAGCCCTCAGGAAGGACCCAGATCTGAGAAGAAATGCCTGTTGGGCAGGCACTGGGTCAGGTGCAAGTCCCAGCCCTGGGGTCATGGCAGCATTATCTCAGGTTGTGTGTGCTGGGCGTCAGGTGGTGTGGTGTGAAGTCACTGATAAAGGTGAGCTTAGAGCAGCAGCTCAGGCCTGGGCTAGGAGAAACATTGCTGGACCTGCTAAGAGCTATCCTAACCTTCATTCATCCTGGCTGTACCAGCCTGACTTCCAGATCCCTAGCTGCCCCAGAGAGAAGGAAGGGGCTATTAGCTGGAAAAAAAGGGGTGCAGGTGAGGAGCCAGAGAGGGGGCGTAACCTGCTTGATTTCACCCAACAAGTCAGACAGCCTTGTTTCCCAGCCCAAGGGCCTGTACTCTTTTTGACCTTGAAGGTGGGTTAAAGGTTTGTGCTGGAGGAGGTGGAGTAGGACCTGGAGGAGCTCACTTTCGGGCACGAGGATATAGGTCCAGTGGACCTCAGAGGTTATGCTTCCAGCCATGTTATGGCTGGCCCCTGGGCTTTCCTCAAAGCTGTAGCATCTTGGCCTTCCAATTCTTCTAACACAGGTCTGAACATGCTGGATGGGGTTTAGCCTCTTTTGTGTGTTGGACTGGGGATGGGGTGGGAGAGGCTTCCTCCCTGGCCCTTACCATCTCTCTTGAGAACGTTAAAACCATTTTGGCCTCTTGGAACTCTGTCTCCATAGGTCCGTCTACTTTTGGATACCTGCCTGAATGGCTCCCAACATGCTTCTCCTCCAGGTCTCCATCTAAGATAAGATGGTGGTGTTCAGCCAGGCCAGGTGGCCAGATGTTCCCCTTGACTCCTCTGTGCCATGAACAGACCCCAAGTCTGCTGATGTCACTTTCCAAGTAGTTCATGTCCCCCCTGGCCTTACATCCTTTCTCTGAGAGACATTCATTCCTCTACTACCTGAGTGGTCATTCTAGCATCAAACCTGATCACAACCAACCCTACTTCCCAACTCCTGAGAGCTCCAGTGGGCCCAGGATGAAGGTCAGGTGGCCAAACTCCTGGTCACTCTCTCAGGTCCAGATCAAGTCACCGTCTGGAGTGGGGTAATATGATCTGATTCTCAGCATCTGGTGACTGGAGCATGCCTGCTGAGGGCTTTGAAAAGAGCCTGGCACAGCTGGCGACCACACCCCCAGATATAGGAGGAGAACCTTAGGACTCTCTACCTCCTGCACTGCACAAGAGCAGGTCCTGGGGCTTAGGGAGAAGCCCCCTCCCTGGAGCCCAGTCTTCAGGGCCTACATTTCATGGCCTTCCTGTCTGGCCTCAGCCTCACCTTCAGCCTCATCTCACATCCCAGTTCTGGTCCTGCACTGTACAACCTGGTTTCATGGATCTTTATCTACAGTACCTTCAAGCCTCTGTTTCTATTTCCTTGGCCAGGACAGCCCCTCCTCTCCTTTCTGTGCTAGTTTGATTTCCACTTTTCCTGAGCATCTTCTGTCTTGCCTTGACTGGGCTGGCTCAGTAATCTGCCTGCATTTTTTTCAAGGCCTGACCCCCTCCTGCCCTGTGTGATTCCTCCTCCTGGGATACAGGCCCCCATCCATAGCAGCCATAGCAACAGGGGCTCAGAGCATGTGTTGACTAAGGCTGATGCCTGAGACAGAGGACGGGGAGAGAGGCTGGAACAGGGTTATGTGGGTGGGTTGATATGGCTAAGTGGAGTCTCAACCCCCCAGTCTTCCAGGCTGGTGACCAGCTGGATTTCTGCAGAGGGCCTTGGTCCCCACCCTCTTGGTATGGCTGAGCTGTCCCAGCAGCCTGAGGCTGCTGCAGGAGACGCAGACCAGATTTGTTTTCTACACACCCACCCCCAACTCATTTTTTTCTTTACCAGCAAAGAGTTGAAATTCATAAGCTGCGTCAAGGTGAAAATTTAATCCTGGGCTTCAGCATTGGAGGTGGAATTGACCAGGATCCCTCCCAGAATCCTTTCTCAGAAGATAAGACAGATAAGGTGAGGAGGACCAGAGTCATGGGGCCTCTCTGTGCAGCAAAGAGGCCTGAGATGGTGGGTGTCTGCTTCCTGGGCCTTTGTAGAAGGAGCAGACCTAATCTCTCAAACAGTCCCCTCTGAGAAAGGTATAAGAAATGATCCAATGGGAATAAATAGGGGTGGGGGAGAGGCCCTAGGAAGGCTTGTTTAGATGGAGCCCAGAACAGCAGGGGCTGGAGCATCCCTGGAGCAGCTAGCTGTCCCCTTGGCTGTCTTGGCATAGCCTGTGCCTGGGGTGGGGGCTGGGAGGAGGCTTGGTGCAGGGATGGACAGATGGACAGCTGGGCTTATGCTGTGTGGGACTTTGCTCTGTGGATAAGGGGCCAGTCCAGTGAACCCAGGGCTTGACTTGGGCTGTCTGTTTCCAGGGCATTTACGTCACACGGGTGTCTGAAGGAGGCCCTGCTGAAATTGCTGGGCTACAGATTGGAGACAAGATCATGCAGGTAACAGAAGTCCCAAAGGAGGAAAACAAGGCTTGGGTTGGAGGGACTGAAGGATTTGGGAGTGGGGCTGGAGCTGCCCTGGCCTCCAGGCACACTTGGGAGACTCACCAAAGCCCTTTGGAGCCCATGCTAGCCTTGCCCCAGAGGAAGCTGGTTCTCTGTGTGTCACCTGTGGTGCTTGGCATTCTGGGGGCATCAGCTTGGGCCTGCTTGGGTAACCCAGGCTTCCCAAAGCCCAACCTATTGCCAGATCCTAGGGTGGGGAGCTGAGGTGGCTGTGTTCTCTCCCTGGGTCAGGTGAACGGCTGGGACATGACCATGGTCACACATGACCAGGCCCGGAAGCGGCTCACCAAGCGTTCAGAGGAGGTGGTGCGCCTGCTGGTGACGCGGCAGTCGCTGCAGAAGGCCGTGCAGCAGTCCATGCTGTCCTAGCAGCCCACCAAGATCCCGACTCGTGCCTGCAGCCTCTTTGTACAGTGACACTACTTCCACAGTCTGCCCCTTGTCTTGGCTTCTGAGTGCTGGGCCCCCGCTCAGAAGGGCAAGAGCTGGTCCCAGAGGCCTGACCTGGCCTGCCTTCCCCTCTCCCACCAGTGGCCTCAGGCTCTGGGACCAGCCCTCCCTCGGACACTGAGAACTGGAAACAATGGCCTGGAGCTGAGTTGTAGTCAGTCTAGTGACCACAGGCTTGGCCCGCAGACCCTGCTGCCTGGTCCCAGCAATGCCCAGGTGAGCAGGGGGCCCCATTCCTGAAAGCGGCCACAAAGAGGAACAATGCCAGGTGGGGCCAGCTTTCCCACTGCCCTGGCTGCAGGGCTTAGCCCTGCCCCACCTCAGCTCCAAAGTGCCTGTGCCCCACACTTTTCCCTATTGCCCGGTGGGGATTCAACACTGCCAGAGGCACCATGAAGTTTGCCAGGATGGAAGCCAGGCAGGCTCACAGTTCACCCATTGCACCCCCACTCCTTGAGGGGTGCTGGGGTTCACCAGCTTATAAGATTTAGACGAGGTTCAAGGCTGACATTTTAGGGCAATTCTCAGAATTGCCATTTTCCTCTATGCCTGTGGGTTTAACTTTTGTACTTTTTAAATCACAACTTTGATACAAAGTTTTTATTTTACTATTTGGAGATGCCAATTCTACTTTTGAATTTAGCTAATTCAATCTGGGAACGATGACTCTTAGCTAGTCAGCAGGCCTTAGTTTGGAAATGGGGCAGTATGAAGCCACCCCACACCCAACATGTTGTGCCCACTAAACAGTGCTGGAACCACAGGGGTCTTTGCTGAGGTGCAGGAATGGGGTCTTTAGGGGTGGATTATGGGGAGAGCTTTGGTTGTAAGGCTGGCTGACCTGGCCCCAGCTGCTCTTGGAGGAAGCCCTAGGCCCACCTGCCATGTGCTTGGCCTGGCCACATCTATAGGAATGTGTGGGAGCACCTCTACTGGAAGTGGGGCAGAGTGTGCCCAACTGTCCTTGTGAGCCTCATCTCAGTTCCCACCCAGGGAGAGCCTTATGGCCACCAGGGGTTCATGGGAAAAACACCCTCCCTCTAAGACTCTTAAGAGCACTCAGTTGATCACAGCCAGAGATAAAACCCCAGATGTTTCCAGGGCCTGCCATATGACAAGATGGGGTGAGCTGGAGAGCTCTGGAGCCTCTGGCTGGCCCACCACCTCTGGGAATTGTTGCCACTCATGGACCCACTGCCAAATCAGATTTTTGAACTCACCCATTTTTAAGGTATGGCACCTGGTAACATACTGGGTAGCCCAAATAAAACAGGTGTGGTACACTTGGTCAGGCCGCAATCTATGACTTGGGGAAACAAAATCCTAAATTCTTTGATATTTTTACATCTGGGTAGAGGAAGAATCTGGAAAGATCAGACATCCCTCCACGCCCAGTAGTGTTGTGCCCTTCAAGACCTCATCCAACCTCCTCACAGCCACAGCTTGAGCAGTGTGCCCTTGGTAATGCAGAGACATGGGACCTGGGGGACCTACCTGGCCCTGAACAGGCAGGCGGCTTGCACTACCCAAGAGGGTTCCCCTGATGAAGAGCCTGGTCGGCAGGCAGTCACCTTGGGACCGGCGAACTTCACAACCCCATGAGTTTCCTTACACAGAGTGAGGCTGTCTCTGTAAGCCCCAGGGACTTTGTTCTGAAGCCAACACACCTGCCTCCTACACCTGGCAAATGCTCAGGAAACAAAAGGAAATAGGTTTTAATTCAGGATGTAAGCCCCTCACATTGGTTTTGTAGTAAAAAGTTGGAGAGTGACTGATAAACTCAAGGCACGTACAAAGCATGTTCTGGGATCCTCCCCCTCCTGCCACAGGAAGGACAACTAGTTGCGTTGGGAGGGAAGGAGATTTGGGATCAGGGTTGGCCCATGAGGACTGTGTGGTCTCATGCCCTTATCTGAGGCTCCTGAATAGCTAAAAAATTGGCGAGTCCCAGAGGTCTGGGGGGAAGTGAGGGAAGGAAGGCCTGCCCTCCCTTTCAGGGAAAGATACTCTCAGTATTTGGCAGGTCCAACTGGCCTCTAAGGCACAGACAGGTCTGTGTGCGCGTTGCACTCCAGACATGGTAAAGCGCAGCTGGAGAGGCTCGTGTGGGGCCCATGACTGGGAAAGGAGGTAGGTAGACAGTTACTTCCCAAACATCTCTCCAAAAAATTCAAAAGGAGTGTTAGTGTGATAAAAGATCCAGAGGGTGCTGGGCGTGAGCCCAGTTCAGAATCAATCTGCTGGGCACCTCAAGACCCAGAAATACTGTTTGTTTACTAGGCGCTGGCCTGGGCCACCTGTGACTGCAGTCGTGGAAGTTGGGTTATGTAGAATAAGTGTCAGGAAGGTGAGTGTTAAGACAATGTGGCCTTCAGAGAAGGGAACCCAAGGCCTAACTTCAAAGTCCTAGCCCCTCTGCCACCAGCACCTCTCAGTCCATTGGCCACAGCACCTGGCTGCTTGGTCCTTGGGAACACAGCAGTGGCACCAAAGTGCCCTTGGCTCTCCCAGCTGCAAGGTCAGTCCTTCAAGCTGCTCCCAGAAACACTGGCTGCTTAGGGCAAGGCCTGCTTCCTGCTCCACGTCCAGTCCTGCTTGGGATGGCTGTCAGGACCTGTGGGCGCTGCCTGAAGCCTTAAAGAAAATAGAGATGGCAGCATCAAGTTGCAGGGGGCAAGATGACTGGCCAATAAGACCCGAGAGGGGCCGCCAGCAGTTGGGCTTTTAATCTCAGAGCAGAGTCTGGTGTCTGTCCCAGAGGGAGGTCTTGCCCTGCCCTGGAAAGTCCTGGATGAAGGCAGGCTGGTGTGTGTTTAAGGCGTTTGGCCCTGAGGAAGAGAGTGCTTCTCCACTGTTGGCACATCAAGCCAGCCCTGCACTCCAGGCTGCTTCTCCAGTCTTCCTGGTGGGCACAGGGCCTGGGCCATTTACACTGGGGCCCTGGGTGCTAGTTCACTTGCTCATACCCTGGTTTCTTCCTGTACAAGCAGAAGTGCTGGATGAAGAAGACAATGTCGAAGAAGATGGAGAAGATGCCGAGTCCAAACTTGGTTGGGTCTCCAAAGATCAGTGTCCACTGGTCTGTTAACAGAGGGGATAGAATCTGGTTTTAGGTTGGCAGCTCGTGGGGCTATAGAGGGTGGGGGTACTTACCTGTACAGGGAACCACAAACCCTCTAGCTGCAAATGCCCCAGGCGATCTGCTTGGCTTCCCAAGCTGCTGGGGTGGGGGGTGGGGGCTAGCCTGGCCCCACCCACCTTTTGCCTCCAGCTCCCCGGTGATGGACTCACCATTGTTGTAGGACTGGAAGAACATCTGGAGGAGGCTGAAGCAGCCCCCAGTGAAGTCCAGAAGCACGTTGCCAATGCTCCAGCCCTCAGTGCTTTTGTAGACATAGTTCATGTAGGCCTGGGCAGACAAAGAGACGGAGGGTGGTGAGGGGGCTGGGTGGCTGCCTCATGTGCCTCGTGACTGCCATTCCAAAGAGCGGCTCTAATTCCTCCCACTCCTGTACTCTGGCCTCTGCTCCAAGGAACACAGTGACCTTTGGCGCTGACGAGCCTTGGTAGAGAAGAGTTTGAGTGGTCCTAGGGTCTCATCTGCATGCACAGAGCCCTCCTCCTCCCATCCCTGCACCACACAACTCCAAAGCAGGGATGCTGCTTCTTCATCTTCCTCCCTCCCTGTTCTTGGACAAAGCCCTATTGTGGTTTTCCAGCCACTCGGATTTCGCTCATCTCCAATGAAGACTCTCTAGACAGCCTGGGCTTCGTGCTGCGCTTGCGAACCTGGGCAGGGAGTCTGACTGCCTGGTTTGGAACGCCGGCTCCACCACTGGAGCTTCCTTACCTTGGGAGAATTACTTGAGTTCTCCTAGCCTTGGTTTCTCCATCTGTAGAATGGACTCACCTCCCACCTCAGCCTGGGATCTCTGTCTCAGGCTTCCCAGGTCTACTGGGTGGATCCACTTGGACGCCCTCCCCCCCGC